GATCGGAGCTTATAGGAAGTGGGAGCAGCTGGTGAAAGCATTTTGTTCAGGTATGTAACCGTGTGTGGTTCCCTTATTTACCACTATAATGTCTTAAAGCATAGAACTTAGTAGGGCTAACCATACAGATATCTTAGCCATAATTTTATATAGTGTAAGAGATCCTCTATTTAACATAAATAAATAATTGAGAATACAATATAAAATAAGGATTGTCTTGGAAGCAAGATTGTCTTTTGGATATTTATTATATAAAAATATAAAATCCATTATAGCAGAGTTTATAAGATTAAATTACATGCTTGCAAATATCATTAATAGGTTAACATACCCTTCTGAACATGTCATCATGTCAGCCTCTCTGTCATTTTAAGATGGAGCAGCGTCTGTCTCTCCTCTGTGTCTTAACATTTAAAAGTACACCTATTTATACCTTAGGTGTCTCCATTTTAGGTTACTGTAGTTCAAATATGAAAAAGTAACACTTCTTTTACTTTATTCAATTTAGGTCCTCCCTTAATTTGGCAAACATACAAGGCCATAACTAAAGGGTGTATACGTCATGGAAATTTTCCTGACTTAGTTCAAGATGGCATCTTAAAGTCTGAATGGGTTATCTGTTGTTTATACTAAGTCGTAAGTGTACAGTCGTGGGAGATTCCAGGATTTGGGGAAGTTCCATTAACTTGGGGTTACCACAGTATATTGTGTACTGAAAGAGTCGTAGCATAGCCTTGAAGCTTGTTTATGCATTATTGTTATTGTAATTCGTCTGGGACAAAATGGCGCAAACATATTATGCACTGAGGTTATTGCTTAAAGAAACCGTTATGAAAAACAATATGTTCCATTTCTAACACCTTGTCAGTTTGCAATATCTCTTAAAGACAAAGTACACAGTTTAAGAACTACAACATTTCATTCTAAAACTTGTAATATTTGTATTTGCCCATAACACCCTCTCCATTAAACTGTGGGCATTGTAGACCATTTCTTCCTTAAATTAGTGAACCAAAGTTCTCCAACTGTCTTTAGGTTTTTTTTGTGCTCCCAGCATCTTTGATCATTGTTGTAACAGTAAAATATCCGTAGTGTGATATTTGCATGTAAAGGTGGTTGATTAAAATGAGCAAAGCTTTTGTCTGGGAAAGAATTGAAAAGAACACCAAGTTCCAGAGTAAGATATTCTTGGATGGATCAGGATACGAATTGTAATCCAAAGTTAAAAGTAGTAATTGTATTTGTAATCCAAAGTCTTTAAAGGCCTGTAGAAGTTTACATTCCTTAGATACATTGCTGGAGGTTGTGTTTGTAGAATACCCGGGTATTTGTTGTAGAGTATAGGTTGTAGAGTCCAGCTTTCCAAATATTTGGTTAGAATTGGTTGAATCAGCATTATCTGTTATCACCGTGGTGATGGCGTTGGTATTTGTCTTTGTCTTTTTTTATTTTGTTTTTTCCATGAAACATTTTTACACCATTTATGATGTGTATAGATTGGATACTCTCCGATATTCTTTTACGGAATCAATTAATTGACAGCATTTCCAAGACATTGTCTTAAGTGACATGGATCCCGTTATAGTACATGTTATGTTGATACAGCAATTGAAGTGGATTCTCAAGAACGGCTCTTTTTGCTGTATTGGAATCTTTGTAACATCTCAGTGATAGACATCTCACTGACATCAGGTGCTGTTGTGCTAAAAATGTTAACAGGTAAAATCTGTGGAAAAATCTTTACATTTGTTATACTTTGTATAATAATGATAGATGAAATAGTAACATAGTTAATCTTTCTAGTGTTTTGTATTAAAGATAAACACCCTTGTATATGATTTAGAGATAAATGGATAATTTGAAGCAGCAAAGTATTTACCGCCCTTGTTCACAATGGTATGTAAAATTACATTCTCTTTAAATGTAAAAAATACTTTTATTCAAAATCTATCAATATATTTAGAATAGTTGCTAATTGGAAATATGACGTTAATTATCTTTCTTTGACCTGTTAGGGAGAAGACAACTTATTCCCTAGTTATTATTGGCTTAAAATACCATAAACACCCAAAAATTGTCTTAAAAACATTATTTTTTAAACCAAGATCTGACAGCCATTGTGGAAGTCACGTCTGTGAGATTGGATGCTTAACAATGTGAATCTTAATTGTTTAAGTATATTTTTCAGTGGCTGTTGGGTGTAGCTTAAGATGATTAGAATTTTTTATTATTTCTAAAAGTAAGTTAAGAAAGCACTCCGATACAATATTGAAGGTATTTATATTTTAACTCTACCTTTGTATAGGTGGTTTTATGTACGTTTAACCATTCACAAACCAAATAACATTTTCTTGGTATTTGAAAAACTGATAAAATATTTGATTACGTGTATTTTAATATATATATATATATACATAGAGTGGTATGGATGTTGAATTTATATCTTTGACATCTTTTCACCAGTTTGCAATAGGTGACCTAAATGATCAATTTCCAAAATCATCATGTATATCACCTGGATGGGTTAATCCCTAATACTCTTTTACTTTCCATTGACTGGCCTTGGCTCTGGCAGACTGAATATTTTTATCATTATAAATAAACTTTATGATAGTTGAAGTAAAGTTTCTGCCTGTCTTTCAGTTAAATTTTAACTGTTGAAGTATTTCACTTATATTAATTATACCACTTTGCAAACTTAAACGAATATCGAGTAGTTTCTGTTTTAATAAAAACATTTTACATTTTCTTCTAAAGTTTAAACCTTATTCATTATTGCAGTTGTTATTGCAATCATATGATCTTTAACTATCATGATTCAATTATTTATCTGGGTAATTAGCTGTTATGCTCTTATACGTATGTTTAATATATTTGTTTGTAGGCCAGACTGCAGCTGCATATGGCATTTTAGCAATAATCTTCAATTGCGTTTCAGATATTCACAAAGTCTATCCACCTTTGTAATTAACACATTATGTGTTTCTTATACCATTAATTATAGTATCTGTATTATATTACACATTGTCACTGACACATTTCTGATACAGGGAAAATAGCATGATTGTTTTAGTAATTATAAATTTCGGTCCATGCACCACATTCCTGGAAGTCCAGAATATAGCAAGAATCCTTTGTCGTTTGATTCTATGGAGCCATTTAACGTTTTGATTGGTAGAGTTATACCAAAAGAGCAAGGAGTACGACGGTAGATCACATCTGCAACAGAACCATTACAGATTCCTTGTTGTATCAATGTCTCTGTGTTTATGTTTACATGAGTTCCTTGCTTTGCAGGTATGTACATAATATGTAGAGTTTAAGAAAAGCTGCAAATCGTGCTTTAGTACAAGTGTCCCGTGATGTCAGGTTTCTGACAGGTTTTGCTGGCCTTTTATATTCCATTCTCTTGGCAGGGCATCTGCTCTTAGTAGGCCGGTCTTGTTATCATTTATTAATTGCATCAAGGTTTCTTTAGTTAATTGATGTGTTTCTACCAAATTCAAATTCATATGCCACCAAATGTCATTGTAAAGTTCATTGTTGCAGAATATTGTTCCAGGATGGTTTTTCTCTCCAGTAGGAAATCTATATTCCTCTTCTTCTGATCCTTCCTATTAACCACTTTTTCTGAGTTGTAGTTAACAATCTGTGTCTTGTACTGTGAGGTGCTTTGATAGTCAATCTGGTTTTGTCAGTAACATGTTCCATCTTGAGAAACAGCTGGGTGTTGACAGTTATCAGCCTTTATTTATTTTTCCATTCATCTTCTGTCTGGAAACATAATAACAATGTCCAGAATTAGCATAGCACTTCTTTTCAGCATAAGAAGGCTGTTTGCGGTAGTCACTCAATGATAAACTATATGGCAAAGTCTTTTCTTAATCACCTTCATAGGTGCATCCAAAGTCTTTCACTAGCATCTGTCCCGTCTTTTTCTGTTTCCAGCATGCTTTGCCAATCACATCTTTCTCATGTATAATCGGTTTTTGGAATAATCTCAATAGGTTCCTTGTGAAATACCAGTGTAGGTCACATTAGCAATCATTTCACTGTGAACTGTGTCTCTCCTTTTGAGATGGTTCTTGGAGGTAGTCCTCACGATCACAGAACTTGTATAGTGTGCAGTCCAATTCAGTTCAGGTGCTTCCTGCTTGTTAACATAATCCCAATGCAGCTTTAAAACGACAGCTAGGGTTGATGTTATGATAATGCTGCAGATTGTAAGAAGGAGACTCCAATTTTCTAGCATCCTTTTGCTTCCATCTTTGCATTTCTTTCTTACTGTATAAGATAATGCAGGTTCAGTCTGTTTTCTCCAGAGTCTTTCTTATAATGATGTTGATGATTCATTTTTCATACATTCCATGTTAACTGTGAATGTATCACGTCTGTCTGTTCATCCTTCTCCTTCACATTTGCAGGTTCAGATGTCAGATCATGATTCAGTCTGTTACGTGGCTATGATTCTGGTGGCTTTTCTGTCGTCCTCTGTTTGTTTTATCTTGTCATCTTTAACAGCTTCCATTGTGTCAGTCAGTGGTTCTGTGAACGTCCTGTTGGTATTTAGCAGGTTGTAAAATATCAAAACTTACTGTTCTCTGTTGGGTCTGATTGTTCTCTGTAGTAAAAGTTCTTGGTATCACCCTCTCCAGGACAAACTGGCCAACAGTAACAAAAAGTTGGTGGTGCAAGGCGAGGTGGGCTGGAAAAAAAAATTCCCTAAATTTCTCTAATAGAACCAATGGTTCTAAGCTCTCCCTGGTGCAGAAATATGTTTGTCAGTGAAAAAAATGTAACATTTCATATGGTGTCACCATTTGTATCATCAGGTATGTTGTGAATTCTTATCTGTACCATAGGAATAAATAGATACCACTGTGTGGGGCAAGCAACTAGTAACTTGGTTAATAATCATTTAACCTCAGCATTTTCCCAGACCACAACCCCACTTCTTTGGGGGTGGTTGGGGCACTGAAATCCCAAAGTAACCCAAATGTGGTTGCCCAGTTTTAGGTTTCCTTTGCAGTAAGTGCAGGACCACCATTCAAATGGATGGTCCTGGGATTATCAAATGCATACTAAGGAAGTGAGACTAGAAAACGTGGCATCAGAGGTTGCACTTCGCACAGGATATATCCAAGTAAACCTGGTACATGCATCAACACATACAAAAACATATTTATAACCATGAGATGTTGGCACACTTCCAATATATAGTAATTCAAAAAGTATGTTAGATATTAATTTTTTAATAAACAGTACATCAGTAATGTGGCAATAAGCAAATGCTTATGATTACTAAACACATGAATTACAGTATTTCCCATATTGTGACCACCAATATTCCTTTTCAGGAGTCAGAAGTACATGATCTCTCTCTATAAGAGCTTGTCCTAGCCATGAAAAAGCTTTTGGGCAAGTCTATCTTTCCTCTATAGGAAGAACAACCAACATATTACCTTCAATGGTTATTATGTAATTAACCCCTCTAAACGATAGGAGTATTTATGTGGATACCAGGTGGATGAGGTCTGGATATCCTTGCAAGCATAAACTCTGCATCATGACTGAGAGATAGGGTATGCGATGTGATCCAGTGACCACAGAAAAGCATTGGTAGACACATTGCATCAAAGTGCCTGTTAATGACCAACTACATGAGGAGAGGGCCCATGCTTTGTTATAAGCATGTCCATACACGTATTACAATGCCAGGCTTTCAATTTGTTTCCACAAAGCAAAATGCAGTTGTGGATATAAACTCACGACGTATCGTAAGAAAAACTGTTTGAATACCAGACTGAGATTCGAGATCAGTGAACAGTGGACCAAAATAGATAAATGAAATCCTATCAATTAATATACTTTCAATATACTTTATTTAAATTACTTTATTCTCTGTATTAACTATGAAATATTAAAGTTAAAACAATAACATTTAAAAGCCAACTTTTAGTGTGCATAGGAATTACAAGGCCGTTCATAATGTGAGATAAAGAACAGCTTTTTTTTTTTTTAAATCCGAATAGTCTGTGAACACAAAATGACCTTGCGCTGAAAACTCACTTGCAGGGGAAAAACAAAACCTCTTCTTTTTTCTTTTTCTTTAGTAAATTAATTAATTAATTAAACGTAGTTAGAACCTCCCTCAAAGTCCCGATGACTTTGCAAGAAACATGTCGTCCTTAAATACTGGGTAAGTCTATTAAACAGTGAAATAGCATTTTGACACTGTATATCATGTTGTCACAGCTATAATGTGCAGTATAGCAAACTATTTATAAGTGTTGTGCAAACTGTTCATTAAAAGCCAGCGGTCTAGTGAGCTATAGAACATTTTTTTTTTTCATTTATTCTTTTAAGCTCTGACATCAATCGGCAAAGCAATATTGTAATGGTGTCCATTGCAATCTGCTATCTATACTTGCTGTATATGTTCAGAGATTTCTTGGGCAATAATAAATCCCCAAAAACAACTTTGCATTTATGCTAAACCTGCCTGTTATAAATGGATTCTGTATATTTCTTGTCATAAGTACTTGTACTTAAATCTGCTTAACAAAGCTGTTTATATTGTGGTAAAAATATATATATTTGTATTATTATTAATTATTTATTTTAACATTGCCTAATATTTAAAGATACCTTCATATTTAATTAAATATCCTTTATATGTCTTTAAGGCATAAAATGTCTGCAAATTAAGATTATATACAAAAATGCATGTTCTGGGTGTTCCGTGATTCCTTTTCTATCATTATTTATTTATTTAAAACATTTTAAGTCTGGAATCTGATTCCTTTCAGGATGAGCACCCCTCTGAGCCCCCCAGTTTCAGAGGCTTCTTTGGAGGTGACCACTAAAAAAGTATAGATTCTATAAAATAGATGTGAGGGGGCATTGGACAGTAATGTCACTTTAATTATACTTTTCATATAGCAGATATGTGATTTTAATATCAGAGTATCATCACTTTAATAGACACTGCATTTTTTTTTATGCATTATTCTTTATGCATTATTATTATTATTTTTTTTTCTTAAATTTTAATGTCTGTTTAGAATATTGCAGCCTTGCAATTTCACATTAATTTTGCAGTATATATATTCACAATGCTCTTACAACATATTATTAAAATTAGCCTCTTTCAGAATTGTAGAATATGTGGTGGAACTGAATCCCCATATATGAGATTTGAAACTGTATTTTTAGTTCTACTCTGTGCCCTAATCAGTATTTATATACATAATTGAGGCAGCATATAGCTTTTAAAGAAGCAATTATTTCACCCTTCATGTGTGGTTGACTGTGGACTTTTTAAAACCTATTTTTTATTTTTTTTATAAATCTGTTTCTGGCTTTGAGAGAGCAGGCTGCTGAATGCATGTAAATGCTGTTATTGCCTAGTCTATATACTTTTATTTATAAACAACATTGATATATTTATATATAAACAACTTTGAAATTTAATTTTATTTTATGAAAACCTAGTTTATGAAATTCACTGAGATTACATGTGTCTGATCTGATTACAGTCAGTAGTACAATATAATTGTTCTAATTTCCTTACTGCTAGTACGGTGGTATAGTACCACTGATTTAAGTAAGCTTTCCCTTTTAAAATTGGTGGACGTTACTGCCATTGCAATAGACTAAAGACTGTACCTAAGTAAGCAAAGTCATTATGTGCAGGAATTGTGCACTTTAAATAGTAGAATACTTATGCTATTCTAGTGAATTGGGCTGGCTGCTTAACACATCATTTAATATCTTTTGGTCACATTTAAAGCTGTAAATGTATTTAAAATTTTTATTTAAATAAGCCTTTAATAATTTCAGTTTAAAAGTTATTAGAGATCCTGTATAGTTACAATTTTATTTTGCCCTGATTTTTCTTACATATATATTATTTTTAATCATTTTATCAATATTTATTTTCGCAGAGCATTTAGAGAAGCAAAGGATGTATAACAACCTGTTGCCCTTTTTTCTAGAAGGGTAGTATAATTTCAACTCTGTTTAGGAAAAAATATGAGCTAGTTAGCATATATTATATAAAATACATGCTGCAGTGTACTGCATTGTACTGCACTGAATTTATTTAAAAGCCATGTCTTTCTCTTTATGGCTGTATGTAATAATGTTGTTCATAATTTGGAATATAAAACGACGACTTCTCAATTCCTTGGAATGTTTACATGTCTCTGTATCTCCGCAACCTTGGCTGGAAATTCCAGACTCCAATGATAGTTATGCTGTTATAATTCCTGATTTTCAATCAACAGCTAGCGTAACTGACAATATGGAAAATATCACTGTTTTATAAAACTTTTCTTATATAGTGGACATTAGAATCCAGAACGCAGTAATGCAATAATTAAAAATCCTGTCTGTTGCATGAATGTTTTCATTAAGCCATAATGCAATTTTCTTTGCATTCTTGGAATTAGACTTGCTATTTCATCGCTCTGTCTTATCACTTTTCTTTTGACAACATTTTGCATTAATCTTTTTCCTGCGCATGCATACTAAGCAGCTACAAAGAGAACATATCCCCCTGTTTGCAATCCACTGTCCTGGAACTAACGGGCCATGCTGTGCTGGTGTATTAGGCATATTAGGGAGTTTACCAAATATGTATATTTGTTCTATTATGATATTAGTTAAGATCCACAATTTCAGCATTGTATGCTAATTACGTTGTACCTGGCACCTAAACTCACAGTGCCTTGTTCACATTAAAATCATCTCTAATGATCTCTCTCTGAGTCTGGGCTACAAGTAGCTCAATAGATTCTTGATATTTCAAGACTTGTGCCATGACAAAGTATTGTGTCTTCTCTTACGTATAAGAGGTTACCTAGGTATTTATTTTATATTTAAAGCTTCCAAGTACAAAGTCCCTTCGTGGTCGCCAATTGTAACAGTGTGTGGTTCCCTTATTTACCACTATAATGTCTTAAAGCATAGAACTTAGTAGGGCTAACCATACAGATATCTTAGCCATAATTTTATATAGTGTAAGAGATCCTCTATTTAACATATATAAATAATTGAGAATACAATATAAAATAAGGATTGTCTTGGAAGCAAGATTGTCTTTTGGATATTTATTATATAAAAATATAAAATCCATTATAGCAGAGTTTATAAGATTAAATTACATGCTTGCAAATATCATTAATAGGTTAACATACCCTTCTGAACATGTCATCATGTCAGCCTCTCTGTCATTTTAAGATGGAGCAGCGTCTGTCTCCAAGTCTCTCCTCTGTGTCTTAACATTTAAAAGTACACCTATTTATACCTTAGGTGTCTCCATTTTAGGTTACTGTAGTTTAAATATGAAAAAGTAACACTTCTTTTACTTTATTCAATTTAGGTCCTCCCTTAATTTGGCAAACATACAAGGCCATAACTAAAGGGTGTATAAGTCATGGAAATTTTCCTGACTTAGTTCAAGATGGCATCTTAAAGTCTGGATGGGTTATCTGTTGTTTATACTAAGTCGTAAGTGTACAGTCGTGGGAGATTCCAGGATTTGGGGAAGTTCCATTAACTTGGGGTTACCACAGTATATTGTGTACTGAAAGAGTTGTAGCATAGCCTTGAAGCTTGTTTATGCATTATTGTTATTGTAATTCGTCTGGGACAAAATGGCGCAAACATATTATGCACTGAGGTTATTGCTTAAAGAAACCGTTATGAAAAACAATATGTTCCATTTCTAACACCTTGTCAGTTTGCAATATCTCTTAAAGACAAAGTACACAGTTTAAGAACTACAACATTTCATTCTAAAACTTGTAATATTTGCCCATAACAGGTAGGGTGGGAGTTTCCCAGAAAAGCTCTGAAACACAAGGCTGGAAAGATGAAGGGTGCGTCTGGATTCCAGCGACAGCCAGTTTAGTTCTTTTAGCATGTCACAATGGTGGGTCCTGTAATTAGATTGTAGCACAAATCGGCAGAACGAGTTATACAATGTGTTGAGTTTATTAATGTGGGATTGCGATGCAGATGCATATACTACATCCCCATAATCAATGATTGGCATCAGCATTTGCTGTACAATCTTTTCATTTACTGTAGGGCTTAGACAGGATTTGTTTCTGTACAGGGCACCTAGTTTTGGATAAAGTTTAGATGCAAGCTTTTCTATGTGCAGGCCAAAAGATAGATTGGGGTCTAATATCATACCCAAGTATTTGAAAGAGTGGACTGCGGTCAGTGTGCAATTTGAATTTGTTTTGATGGATAGGTGGGAATTGTGTAATTTAAGTACTGTTCCAAAGATCATTGTGACAGTTTTGTCAGTGTTCAGGAAGAGTTTGTTTTTTGCGATCCACTTTTCTACCTCTGTAAACTGGTCTTGGAGCACAGCCTCAAGTTGCGGTAGATTGGATTTGCTTGCATAGATTACCGTGTCATCTGCGTACATGTGTACATTTGAGGATTTGCAGACATTAGGCAGATCATTTATAAATAATGTAAATAGTAGGGGGCCGATAATGAAACCCTGGGGAACACCACACGTGACTGGGAGTGGGAGGGAGTCGCTGTCAGAAATGGACACATATTGTGAGCGATCCGATACATACGCTCTACGATCGAAACCAGGTTAGCGAACGATCACCAATACCTGAGTTTTTGAGTTTGTGCAGTAGAATTTTGTGGTCTACTGTGTCAAAGGCCTTAGCAAAATAAAGGAAAATAGCTCCAGTTAGGGCTCCTTGTTCCATTCCAGTTTGGATGTCATTGCAAACTTTTAAGAGGGCAGTTGTAGTGGAGTGATTCTGGCGAAAGCCAGATTGATCAGGGGTCAGATAGTTTAATTGGGGGAGTTGCGTATGGACACATTTTTCTAAGATTTTTTGACAATACCGGGAGCAATGATATTGGGCGATAGTTAGAAACCAAAGTAGTGTCACCACTTTTATTATTTAAAATAATTGTTAAAGGCATTTGCTACATCTAAGGGAAGTTGCAGGGGTTGGTTACCCACTTTGACAGTGGAGGGTTGGGAGTGGATTGGGGGAGTTTGTAGTTTATTTATGACTTTCCAAAGGTTTCTAGGGTTTGAGATGTTATTGTTCAGATTTTCATAGAAATATTGGGCCTTGGCCAGTTTTGTCTGTTTTGTGCATATATTTCGCCATTTTCTATATGCACAGTGATCATTCATATAGCCAGTACGCTTGAACTTTGACCACAAAGAATAGTGAAACAGGTGCATTTGGATGAGGTCAGCTGTGATCCAGTTCATATGCATTGAATCGTGTATACCACGTTGCTGGATGTGCAGGAGTATGAACCTTTAATGCTGTAGGTTTTATTGTGTGTGGCTGTGTTGTCTGTGCATATGTGCTGAAACAGTTTGCAGCGAGGTTTTTTGCATTGACTGGTCCCATTTTCTTCATTCTTACCATCAGTGGGCAGCTTCCTGTTGATTAATTTTTGTTGGAGGTGTGGTGGTCGTCTGAAGGCCAAAATGGGTGTTTCAGGGAAAATGTTTTTCAGAGTCTCATCTTCAGTTAATATTGGTTGTAGGTCTTTGATTTTCCGTATTTCCTCAAGAGCTGGGTTGTAGGTGACCACAAGTGGCACTCGTGTGGATATTTTTTTCTCTTTGTACTGTAGTGCGTGCGTGGCGTTTTTACAGCAGAGTTGATTTGTTTGGTAATAGTCTTTGGTTTGTAGCCTTTTTGTCTCATAGATTGGGAGAGTACATTTAGATGGGAATTACGGTCATTAGGATTAGAGCATATGCGATGGTACCTAGTGGCTTGGCTGTAGATGATGCCCTGTTTAGTATGAGAGGGGTGGAAGCTGGAGCTGTGTAGGTAACTGCACCTGTCTGTGGGTTTTCTGTAAACCAAGGTGTGGATTGTGCCATTGTTATGTCACAGTGGTGTCCAGAAAATTCACAGATCTAGTGGAATATTCCATTTTTAGATTGATGGATGGAATGTGTTGAAAGAGTCATGGAACTGTATCAGTTTTTCTTCGCTTTCAGTCCAAATTATGAAGATATCATCGAAATAGCGATATTTGTATGGTTTGGTGTGTTGAATTTCTAGGAATCTCTGTTCAAGATCTGCCATAAACAGATTAGCATATTGGGGTGCCATCTTAGTGCCCATAGCAGTGCCCATGGTTTGTAGGTAAACCTCATTGTTGAAACTGAAGTAATTATGTGTGAGGATAAGTAGTGCCAGTTCTGTGATAATTCGGGGGCTGTATTTTTGGTTGTTGACATGAGAGAGAAAATGGAAGTAAGCATTGATGCCATCTGTATGTGGAATGTTGCTGTATAGAGATTCCACATCCATGGTTACAAGGATGGTGTTAGCAGGGAGATTGGTGATTTGGCTGAGTTTGTTGAGGAAGTCGGTTGTGTCTTTTATGAAGCTGTTAGTGTTGGTGACTAGAGGTTTCAGGGTATTTTCTACCAGTCCTGAGATCTGTTCTGTGAGTTCCCATTCCTGTAATTATGGGTCTTCCAGGATTACCTGCTTTGTGAATTTTGGGAAGCATATAGAAAGTGCCCATGCAGGGACTAGTTGGTATGAGTGATTGCAGTTCTAGGTGTCAGTTCTCAGGGAAGGATTTAATGAGTTGTGATGCATATTCCTTGGTGGGGTCTTAATTTAGTTTTCTATAGTATTTGTCATCTGACAATTGCCCGTCACACTCTTTTATGTAGTCCTGGGTGTTCATTATCACTTTTGCTCCTCCCTTGTCTGCTGGTTTGATGGTGATAGCATGATTATTTTTCAGGTCATTTATAGCCATTTGTTCCTGTACTGAGATATTATGAAACATTTTTCTTTTGGTTTTGCTTGGTTGTCAAGGATACTTTGACGAAACTTTCAATGTAACTGTCCAGTTTGGCATTTCGTCCTGGTGCTGGAGTGAAATTAGTGTTTTTTTTTCTGGTTGTTGTAATCCATTGTGGTTTCAGTGCTCTCTTTGTCATGGAAGTATTCCTTAAGTCGCATCCTTCTAAAAAATTCTTCCACATCAGAGTAGAGCCCAATGTCATCAAGGTTTGTGCTAGGGCAAAATAATAATCCTTTGGAGAGAACTGATGCTTCTGGGTCAGATAATTTGTAATCCGAAATGTTACCAATACCAGATTTCTCTTGCCATTTCTCTTTCTCTGCCAAATGTGTGTGATAATCCTGCTGTAGTCTGATGAGTTTATTCTTTTATTAAAGGTCCCTTTGTTGCTTTTTGTAAAAATCGTGTAGATCATGTTCTAGTTGTTTGGCAATATATGTATTCCTCACGTAGATTTTGGAGTAGATATTGTTTATGTTGCATGCTATATTTTTTGTTGTAGACTTGTTGTGGTGGATGAGATGGTTCCTTAGTTACTCACTAGTACGTTTACACAGGTTTTCAGCATACTGTGTTTTGTGTGTATTAGCCAGTGGATTTTTGATTTTTAGGCCTTTGGGGATCAGCTGTCTTTTCTTGCAGGTGGATAGAAAGTGTATGTCGCTGTTGAGCTGTACTTCTTTTGTGGTCATCTTGTAAATTTGCTTTTTTAGGCGGCTGTATGCGGTATCTTCCATAGTGTTCAAGTAGAGATTGTAGCTGTATTAGTCCAGTGATGTAGATGTAAAAAACAGATACAATTTGTATCTTGTAATATCTTTTTTATTGGACTAACAGAATTTAATGACAAGCTTTTGGGAGAACCTCCCTTTCTCAAGTCTGAAGCATTTCTGAGCAAGACGACACATAGAATTCAAAGTTGAGTTGTGATACAGGGGTTAAAGCGACATGAGTGTAGATAAGACACAGGTTTGTTAGCAGAGGGTCATAAATATCTTTTTGAAGAGCAGAGTGAGGGGGGAGAGAGGGAAAAGAAAAACAAACTAGCAGTGCAGAGGATGGTACACTTTATACATGCACACACACATAATGTATTTCTCTATTTTTTGTTATGCTTCTATATATTAGTGTGCATTTATATTTGTGTATATGAGTTCATGTGCATGTATGTATGTGTTTATGTATATGTACATGTGTTTATGCGTTCACATATACATATTTATGTGTGTGTGCATGTATAAAGTGTACCATCCTCTGCACTGTCTGCTAGTTTGTTTTTCTATTCCCTCTCTCCCCCCTCACTCTGCTCTTCAAAAAGATATTTATGACCCTCTGATAAGATGGTGTCTATTTTCTATCAAACCCGTGTCTTATATACATACGAATTTTATCTGTTTTTTACATCTACATCACTGGACTAATACGGCTACAATCTCTACTTGTATATGTATGTATGTGTGTATATATATATATGTATATGTATGTATGTGTGTATATATATATATATATGTATATGTATGTGTGTATATATATGTATGTATGTGTGTATATATATA